TTCCCTCTCACCCTCTATAGGCCCAAAACATGTTTTTTCATCCTGTAGAATAATTTAATTAAAGTAGAGAAATTGCCAAGGAAAATTTGTCCTAATGGCATCAATTTCTATTTTGTTCAAATAGATTCTAACTTTAGATATGATGGATGACAGTCTCAAGATCCCCAAAAGCTTCTCTTTTTACCTAAATTTCCATTTAAAAAAAAAAAAAAAAGGATAAAGAAATCAATAAGAAAAATTCAATCACACATTGGAAGCCAGTGTTTGGTTGCAAGGAAAATGAAGCATACCAGTGTGAGTTCCAAGAAAATCGCCTCCGAAATGATCATCCTGTATTGGACAAAAATGCATTCCAATTAATCACAAACTAAAATCAATAAAAACTGGGGCAATAGCTAGGGCACCGGAGGCCTTACTTCATCGATACGAGTGTGGGTAGCCAAGCCATGGAGCTTGAATTCTCAAAACCCTAGAACTCGATTTCGAAGAGAGTAAGCGATTTATTGGGCTTAAGGGATGAACCATCACAAGCCACACTCGTATTCCTATAGTTATGTTCGGGTTAACTCATTTATAGTTGTGCCGTGTTGTTATTGACTTATGTGTCAAGTGAACGAAAAATTCAACAATTGTTATTTATATTTTATTTATTTGAGTTATTTTATGCGTATAATTTGAGAATTATTACACGGCCAAATCATTCCGAGACTGATGGTTTAGTTCAACCGACATATGATAATTTTAAAAGTGCATGTCAAAGTTTGAATTTCATAATTTGATTTTTGGGTCAAGTATTGAATGGCCCATTTTAGCGCGTTTCTATAATTTTAACGGGCTTAAGAATGGGCCCCACCAATACAATGCACAAAATTAAGCCCAAGTCCATCTTCATTCCCGCGTTACACAGACCCGGTTAAACAAAACCCGGTTCGAGTCTGAGACTCAATGACACAGAGCCCTAAACTCCCACGATGCTCTTGCTCGGGACAAAAGCTCTCAGCTTTATTTCCATGCCAGTAGTGGATTTTACCATGACCTGAATACTGGTTGGTACTATAGCACGCGAGACGGTTTTCTTCCCTCTCACCAAGTTCCTCTTTCATTCTTTTCATTCTAGTCTGTATCTTGTGCTGATTACATTTGAAAGTGTCGTGGTTATTGGTGTTTTGAAATCTATTATCTCTTTGATATTAGGTGGAGTGATTTCTAGTTTGGTTGGAAATATTATTTTCAGGCTGATAATTTGGAAACATATGAAACCCAAGTGGTTCTCAGAATAGAAGCCGTTCCTCAGAAACCCACATTGCAATTCCTATTGTTTTTATATGAGTGCTTCTCAGAATCCCATTATCCTCATCTTCTGGATTGAAACTACAAAAGTTTTAGACATTTAGTTTTGTACTTTAGTTCAAAGCAGTGAACTGGTTCTTTTGTAAACCGGCAACACAGAGTGCTGCAGTAGCAATGATCTGTCTGAAAATCCCCCTCCCACCTCAGAATGGTGCCCTGGTTCTCGCATATACCCCTGGAGAACATGTCTTATTTATCCTTATGCTATATATCTGTACTATGCTTCTTCTTATTGTTTGTACCCAGGCAGAGTGGACCCCCGACGGACGGCGAAAAGGAATGGCGGACGGAAAAAAGGACCAACACCTATCTTTCTCCTTTGCTGCCCCTGCTTCTTCATCCTCCTCTTTTTCCTTTGTTGCCTCAGTGCCTCCTCTTCTACTTTCTCTTTGTCCTCTTCTTCTTCCTTCTTCTTCTTCTTTTTCTCCTTTGGTGCCTCTGCTTCTTCTTCTTGCTCTGCTTTTGTCACCTCCTTCTCCAGTGCCTCCTTCTTTTTCTCCCCATCAATCTTCCTTTTCAATGCCTCTTCCTTCTCAGTTCTCAGCTCACTTAGCAATCTTTTGGCATTTGCCCTATCAGTGCTTTCCACCTTATGCGTAGAAGAACCAGCAGCAGCCTGTGCTCTCTCCTCCTTCTTCTCCAGAGAAGTAATAAGGAGATTGCTAATTGCTTTTTGAGTCAGTGGTATGCCCAGACTTGTGTCACATCCATACTGACACATCAACATCATCTGTTTCTCCTGGTCAATGTCTACAGAGCCGCTGACTAACCCAACAATCATACCTCGAAATCCAATATTGTCCCTGAGATAAGAGACAATTTCCTGCAATGCAAAAACAAAACAAACCGAGTTCTTCATTTTCTTAATCAATTAATAAATTAAATTGACACCACAATATTTGGAATCAATGTTTACCTTGCTCAACTCATAGCCCACTACTACAACCACGTTTTCCCGGCATCCTTTCCAAAACCGCTTGAAAAATTCTTGTCTTGATATATCTTCGGGAATAACAGTCGGAGTCCCGCCGATATCGAACGTTTCTGCATCGCCACCACCTATAACTACAATATTAACACACTCGAAGCAAAGAAAACCATCTTCATACGGCCCTAGACCACCTATGAAAAAAGAAGAAAAGACAGAAAAAGTCAATTAAATAATAATAATATGTTAATAAATTTACAAAAGAAATCTTTCTTTTCTTCTCTTACCCGCGGAGTTAGTGAGTTGCCAAACAAACTTGAAAGGGTCGGTGACAGTGGCCACCAGCACACCCGGACGCAGGGGGTCCTCGCCAACATCTCTCAACACGTTACATCCATTCTTCTTTGCAAAATCCCTTGCTGCTCTGATGTCAGTGGAGTTGTGTAAATTCAACTGAAGGCAAGTATTAGTGTTACCATCCCTGCCATCAGTTATCAACAAATTGCTTGAACCAATGGTGATTTGATAACAATGCACAGGGTCCTCGTCTTCTTGCTCCGGAATGACGTTGTAGCGCAAAATCTCACCTCCGAAAGCATTACGATAACAGTAGGTCGCCTTCTCAGCCTTGTTTGCCGGCACAAAAGCATTGGGCGTCACGCTCATGACTTCAATTTCAGAGTCCACCTGGTCAACATTGGGCTTCGGCTCCGTAACAGGCATTTCATAGTCTACGACAAATAATACATTAATTAAAAACAATTTTTTTATTAAAAAAAATTAAAATTAATAAAACAATTGAAAATATACAAATAAATATTCAAAATTATAAACAATCCTATGAGTCTATGACAAATAATAAATTAATTTAAAACTTTATTTATTTATTTTAAAATTAATAAAACAATTTAAAATTTGCAAATAAATATTCAAAGTTATAAGCGATGCTATGAAAAATAACAAATGAATTAAAAAAATTTAATTCTCAAAATTAATAAAAAATATATGCAAATAAATATTCAAAATTATAAGCCTATGACAAATAATTAATTAATTAAAAACTTTTTTTAATTTTAAAATTAATAAAACAATTGAAAATATGCAAATAGATATTCAAAATCATAAGCATCCGATAGCCTATCCGATTTAACAAAACATTGCTTACTATTGATGAATTGCCAGAGAATTCCGTGCTCATCTTTAACATTCCGCACGAATGATTCACAATGCTCGGCCGGTGTAAATTCCTCTGTGTTTAGAATATTCTTAGCGAACTGTTCCGGATCGGAGCACCGAAGCCGGAGACACAGCATCGAAGGCGATAGGTCTGTCCGGGACGGACAAGTGATGGTCAGTAGGCTTGAACCTATCATTATCTGAGTCTGCTCTGGCTCATTGCTCACGATCTCAGCCCCAAAAACTCGCCGGTAGAAGCCTGCGGCTCTAGTGATCTCCGTCGGAGGCACCACAAGCAGTGCCGTCAGCTCCATTGAATAGAAGCCGAGCTAAAAGTGGAAGAGGAATGAGAGAGAGCGAGCTGATTGGAGAAATGAGAGAGAGAGAGCTGATTGGGGAGAGAAATGAGAGAGAGATGAGAGAGAGCAGAATTTCAAAAATCAAGGCGCGCGGTTTGGGTTTATATAGCAGAAGGGAAGCGGTAGTTTGAATAATTACAAGCGCGCGGCTTTGTTCATATAACAGAAGAGAAGGGAAGCGCCAGAGTTAGTTATGCGCATGGAATCTTCGGGAGTAAGATTTCATTTTGGCTTAATAATTAATTCAGGTCCGTCCGAGTTAGTTATTGATGATTAGTGGTGAATGAATGGGAATGCAAGGCAAGGCAATGCAGTGGATCGATAGTCGCGAGCGAATTGATTTCGGATGACCATGATGCTTCGAGTTAGTTATGTGTACGGATTTCATTTTGGTTAATCGTTAATTCACGTCCGAAACGCCATCCCACTAGCCGAGCCGACGAACACTTTGGATCGAAGGGTAATTAAATATTTTCCTAACTGTTTTTTTAATTCCAAAACCTCTTTCTAGGTTAGGAGTTGGTCTTGCTATGGTTTGCCGAGCCGACGAATACTTTCGATCAGTATGATACAGAAGACTCTTTTATTGATGATGCTGAGTTGGTATTTGCATTTATTCATTAATCTTATTGTTTTATGTCTGTGTTGGCCATTGTACTGATTTAATTGGTGGCATTTTATAATTATGGCTTTGCTAGTGCTACTTCTTTATGTTTTGCGCAGGATGAGTATTTTAAAGTTGACAATTCAGCAATAAAACATGATGGATTCTTTGTTAACAGGGGAAAACTGGAACGCATGTGAGTTTCCTTCAATCTTTTACCTGATTGTATTTATGTATAGTTTTTTTCCTTAATTGCATAGTCTATACATACAAGACTTTATTCACTTAATTTCTTCTTCGATTTGGTACTGATACTGAACAAGGTCATATTATTTCCCTTCAAGTGGCCACCATGATTCGTGTATGGCCTATGTGTCTCGACCAGAGGTGTAAGTGGCTTTATTCGTATTCGTGAACAAGCTTGGTCATCAACATCTAATGACATAATATCTCCCTGATATCCAACTAGGTAGATTTGGTTTTTGTAAGATATAGCATCCATGACCGGACGTGGGGTTCTAATCCAACTCCAATCCTTTTGGCTCTGACCTCTTTTCATATGGATGAAAGCCAAAATATTATTAGATCTACGTAACACTGCTACAACAATGATTTCTTGTGGATTGATCATGCGTATACTGGAAAGAACCCATGTACTGTTGTTGGGTTGGGCGAGTCATGCCAGTTGCATTAGGGGATTTGTGCATGCTTGGAGGATATCTTTGTGATAACATGTAGGGGGTTTCTCCAGGATTATGAACCAATGAAGACTGGGCTCGTGGATCAACTGCATTGAGAGGCGGGTGCAATTGAGGTAGCCGTTGTAATTGTGAGGTTGGTGAAAGATGTGGTGCTGGTGGATAATATTGATATGGTGCTATGGGTGGTGGTAGTGACTGCTGAACTTGAGGCATATAGTATATCTGAGGTGCGGGTTGTGGATTCAACACAGGTGGCGAGTAGTTAGAATCTGTCTGTTGAACAGAAGGGATTTGATTCTGAGGTGAGTGGGTATGAACTTGTGCTGCAGGTGCTGGTGGCAAATTCTGATGAGGTTGGATTGGGGGAACATTAGGAGGAAAAGAAGAAAGTTGTAGACCAGCAACAGGAGTTGAATGTGGTTGGTGGCTTTGTTGAGGGGCAGATGACAATACTCCCTGAGTTGAAATTGTTTGTACATTGCTCCTTTGGTTTTCCAATTGCTGGTGACCCTTTAACATTTGAAGAGTTGCAAGCTGCAGCTTAGCCTCTGATATCTCTTGTTTATCTTTCAAGTCCTGCATACCACCTTCGACCTGCAGTTTATTTACAAACAACATGAACCATATCAAGAAGCTGCTGGCAGGAATCGCAGAATCTCCTGTACACCACTATTACTTGTGTGTTTTTTTTTAACGCTAAACCTAGTTTTCACCTGCTTCAACATGATTGTATTATTTAACACATTGTGCTAACAGGACATCTTCAACATTTCTCTCATAGTTCAATAGGGACATTGCTCAAATTAAAAATCAGAAGACTAGTTAGACACTAGGTTCAACTTTGGTGCTCAGCAAAGATGATCATGGTCACTTACAATATTGTGAATGTTGTTGTGTTAACTAGTGGAAGTTATGGCATGCAAAATCAAATCAGATAAATTCCTGAGAAAAGCCTATTTGACTATAAACCTGTTAAATATGAGCTTCGAGCCAACAAATTTTATATCAACTTATCTGCCTCTAGCACCTAATTTGTACAATCAAAATTATCCATCCTCTAAGTTTAGCACTTACAATAATGCAACCTAATTGACTGGTTAAACGAGAAATGTATGGTTTACAATACCTCTCTTAGAATATTCTCAAGTTGTCTAAGTTTCCCATCATTCCTGCCATGGTTAATTTCAGTAGAATCCTTCAAGTCGTCAACTGAGTTCTCTAGTCGGCGTAAGCGAGTCTCCAGTTGGGAAAGTCGCGCACTGAGACCCTCCACCGCATGCAGCATATTGTCAAAATGATGGCTCATCTTCTGACCAATCACCGAGATCAATGCCGAGTCATCAAAAGCCCCGGCATACTTGCGACCCGATTTTGCAAGGTCAATGTGGTCCATAGAACTGCAATTCTGTGAGTCAAAATAACAGAAGCAATCACTTGAAAATCTACAACAATCATGAGCAGGAATCAACACAGTACACCCCAGCCGATATTCAGTAGATTGAGTTCTCTATCTTCCTCACTTATACCATCAAACTTAATTCAATTTCGTTTAACAATAAATAAAGGGAAAAAAAAACTTAAGCATCTCTATGCACACCCACATAGACATGAATTAAGAAAAGTTAAAACAAAACTCATCAGAAACTTTTGATGCTACCATTATACCAATTCCAGTTAGTGCCCAAATTCTATTCTACTAAACACAGAAAGATTCAAACTTTAGATAAATAATCCATCAATTCGAAAATTTAGTTGAAGCTTGAAATGCATACCTCGAAAGTGGAAACGCGTGACTGCTGCGAGACGACATGTCGCGTGGGGCGGAAGTGAAAGCTGGAAACTGAGTCGTCGTCCTTGTCCTCATCGTCTCGGAGGTCACGAGGGTAAGAAAGTTGAGATAAATCGTCGGAGTGGGACCGAGAAAGTTCCATGATCTGCTTATCCATGAACTCCGACGACGTCATGGCGCTCGGAGTTTCCTTTGCCCCTTTCCTGCACTTTCGCTCATATTTTCTGAGATTCCAAACAGACGATTGTGCTGTGTTTGGCCCGACGGAACTGTCAACGGAAAATGGACTAGCTGTTAAAGAAGAGCCCAGAGGTTGCTTGATCATGTCCAGTTCTTGATTGATAGTATCCTCTCCTTTTTGTTTTCGGGTTAGCAGGCCCAAAAGATGTGGGCTGGAACAATGGAAAGCTCATCAAGGAAATGAGATTGGAAATGCACGTTTGAAGCCCAGCAAGGAAAAATATAATGCTTAATTAATTATTATTTTTGCCATTCTCTTCTAGGTAGGGGGAAAGAAGAGAGAATATTATAGGGGGTTGCCTCAATATTATCTCATACAACCCGGGTGCACTTGGGGAGACGAAGAATTTGACACAATTTTTCATTGTGGTCTCACCCCACGTGCATGCTTTAATTAGTTGTTAACTTTCTCTATTGTTGGCTTCATTGTTGTGAACTTTACTTTTGTGTCATTTCCTAATTGATTTTGGTCACTACCGCCAGAACAAACACAAATTAATGAATCAAGTTTTTCTTGATGAGTTCATTGACCCGTTTAAATTATATGGTTTTAAGTTTGCGTTATTATCTTGCACGCCATTCGTGTTTTACGAGTTTATATTAGAGTTGAAAATGTTGATCGCTTTGATATGAACTTATAAATCACGGATGTAGTGCAAAAGAATAACTTAAATTGCGCCTTCGTGCCATCTGTAGCCACATATGTAAAAGTTGAGAGACTGATGACCATCAATGGTAAGAATAAGAAGCCAAAAAAAAGTGAGAGTGGAGAAGGAGAACAAGTAGTCGAAGAAGAAGTAGCAGCTAAAGCCTCTGATCACGTTCAACATGCAGAACAATATAGTTGAGGTTCCTTGACATTTGACTTACAATTCAGTGAAAGAAAGTAAGTTCATGTTTTCTACTTTCTTTTTATGAATTATTTTCAACTATAAAAACATATAGTTGAAAATAATTCATAAATCATATCAACCCAAAGAAAAAGAAAGAAAAAAGAGGTGCATTACATTACATTGATGACATCACATGAAAAATTAATTCAACTGTAAAAAGCTAGCTAGCAGAGTCCATTAAACTGGGGTACAACCCAGACTGCAGGCGGTATATACCCCTGCAAATCAGAATAGGGATATAAGGAGAAATGTTGTGTGATGGTTCCGCTCTCTAAATAAAAAAAATACCCATATCGCGACATGACATGTCGTCATATAGCGTATCATATTGGATATGGTCTCCGTAAACAAAAGACGACGATGAGAAATCATGGGTGTAATATATGGAATTTTATTGGCATACATGAAAGTTGGAAGCCAAAACAGAGACGGAATGATTGTCTGACAGGACCCGATCCAAATTCCATTTTGGAATCCGAGCTGAACCCTGTTCATGATCGACACTTGGCAGGTGCCGAGCATAATTGACTTGGTTGCCCTTTTTTTTTTTCCCCTTAAATCCTGACTTCTACCGAAAATTTGGCAGAGTCTCCCTTGTAAATCGAACGTTCCCAAAATTTACACATGTCAACAAGCACTTAAATATATACACCAACTACCAGTATAATAAAAAAAGTATGTTCCAACAGTTAAATACGTTCTAGGTCAATATCAGAGCAACTATACAAGTTTATTTACAAAGAAGGTAACCAGTTGTGAACCAAGGAACCCTGCATCAAAATGGGGAAGAGTGGGAAGCGGGAAATGCCCTGTGGTGGCTCTAGGATGCACGTCTACAGCATGGAGGCGCAAAACATTCAAAAGGTGAGTGGACCCAAAAACAAAGTTTAGAAAATACATAAGAACACATTAACCACGCTGTAAAAAAAAACAGTTACGCAAAACTAAATCATTCTCTTCATTATATTCGTACTGAAATCAAAGCACACACATATATTTATAAATATACGCCAATCATACTCATGGTCATCTTTTTAAACTCTTAAAAGCACTGAAATCAGTTTAAAACTAACACCTAGGTGTACCCTTTTATTTCCGTCAATTCCTGATATCCGTCAATTCCCTTCGCATCACCATTGGTGACACGTCCTCGCAGGTCTCGATGACACAAAGTCAATTCGAGCCGCAACCTCGCAGGATTCAGAGGACCTTGGTCAACTTGATCCGCGTCCTCGCTCCACACGAGTCCAGGTACCATAGAACTCGTGGGGCAACTGTCAAGCATGTTGACTAAACCGAAGGCAATTGATAAAATCTGAAGGCAACCTGGATGTCCGTGCACATCATCATATCCGAAGGCAACATCTGTATATATGGGTACCTAAGGTGGCTTAGAAAATAACAATAATAATAAGCAAAGTTTTTGAAAGATATGATAAATAACTGAATTTCTGTTAAGGCTGGACTCTGCTGCCATTTATCTAATGTTTAACTAAAATTCTCTTTCCCATTCCACTCGGCAGCATGCAAATCAAAATATTTAAAAGCATGTCTCACTTATAAAACACTATTCTTTGAATAAAACTTATTCAAGATCAAATACTGAAACTAAATTTCATAAATTCATTTATGAAAACAAAGAGTCCACTCACAGTTGGTCCGAGCTCGCTGGACCTTTGGAAGGTCCCTCCTGCGGGTCAACTGGTGCCCGAGTGCCTGATTCAAATACTATATTAAAATATATTAATAAAACTGTTCGGTATAAATATTTAAATAAAACCCAGACCCCCAGCTTCTAGAAGTGCGTGCATCAATTTAAAGTTATTCATATGCCCACAGTACGTTCCTTTAATTCTAGGACATTCGTCTCGTGAATCGGGTTTCGATTGGACGGTTAGATTCGTCACAATCACACGATCGACGATTCTAAACCCTTAACCCTAGGGTTCGCAATTTCGGAGTATCTGGGACTCCGATTCAAGATCCGTCGAATCCTATACAATCCTAGTAAGGTCTAAATTAACATATCTGAAAGTGATCACGACCCAATGGTTCAAAACCATTGAGCCCGGATAACGCACACTATGTAAAAGTCTGCTTAACATTCAAACGACGTAAGAATACAAGGATCATTCTGAATCTAAGAGTGGTCCCCACCAGACTGCCCAAGCGCCGCCACACCCGCCGGCAGTTTGGGTGGCTTGAGAAATTTCCAGCGGCCAGAAAAACTCCAAACTGCCGGCCCAAACTCCTAAATTAGGTAAAACACCTAATTTGGAACTACTTTTGTTCTTGGACCTACCCCAAAAAGTGGCCGTAAGTGGCCGGAATCCTACCCTCAAAACCGGCTGAAACTTAAGTTGAAAATCGAACGATCTACGCTTGAAATTTCTAAAATCCTTCCCAACCAGCAGCTAGATCATGGAAAATAGCTAGAAAACCATACCTCACTCGTCCGATTTGGTGGCCGGACGACGGAGAACGAAAGCTTGGAAATTTTGTCAAAAACTGACAACTTCCTTTGAGTTTTCCGGAGGTTTCGTTGCGGCTGGTGTCGGAGCTGGGCTGGGTTAGGTAGAGGACATCGATACGAAACTTTTTCAACAAATTTCACTCAAAACGGATACCGGATGACGACGAAATCATCACTTGAAGGTGAGTGTATGCGGAGAGAGAGAGAGAGCCAGAAATCTGGTTTCTCTCGCGAGGAAGAAGAAGAAGAAGAAATAGAGATCCGGTTACTGTAGCAATACTGTAGCACCGACAAACTTTAAAATTCCCACTACGTCCTTTTGATTTCTAGACCTTTCCTCCTTCGTTACAGCTCAGAATCGAGCGTGCCGCATGTTCACGAACTCATTTCATTGTGCTCTACGCAACAGTGCAAACGAGATTCCCAAATTCTTTTTTGGTCAAAAAGTCAACTTCTCAATTACTAAAATAGTCTAAGGACAAAAGTGTCATTTTCCCTTAATAAACTAATAGTTAAATATTAATTAAGGTTTGGGTTGTTACATTGTCACCTATGAAAAAGGCATTACCTCCGATGCTTTTTACCTCAACATGTTGTAAAACAGATCCGTCTTTGTCGTCGAACACCACCTTGTAAACCATAAAGCTTTCAGTCATAACATTCTTGTAGGCCCATTGTGTTTGTTTACAAACTCTTTCGATATGCATTAAGTCTCCCTTGGTTGATTCTACAAGATATCTTGTAGCTCTATGACGGTGGAAGCCTGCGTCTGGATGTGTAAGCACCTTTAGTCGTCGTATTCTTGAAGTATAAGGGTTAACATTGTTGACTGTGCAAATCTCACGGCTTGGTGCTCCGGGCTGAGGGGATGTACGTTAACACGTGGCGTCCTTCTTTAGGATGCGGTGCAGTTGTGCGAGGGCGTGCCAGCATGGTCTACCGTGCGTCGAGATGGTGATGAGGTTTAGGTAGAAGATGGTTAAATGATGCGCCTGTTTTAAGTTCGACTCCTAATCAAACGATTGTGGCCGAGAGATGAACTGATCTCGACCGTCAGGTTCACGGTCTGAGCTACAAGGCCGTTTAATGGTGGTGTTGGTGGCGGGTTTTAAGCAGTGTTCCGGCGCATTGCTCAAAGAGCGACAGTCGTATGATATATGAGGTGAATGAGATGATAACAGATATGGTGCTCCGGTGCCTTGAAAACCAAGGGTCGTATGATATATTGATGAATGGATTTTCCTTACAATCTACCACTACTCCTAGGAAAGCAAATAAATGTATTGAAAGTGCATTACAGTAAAATATAATTTGCTCCGTGGGAGGCTTTTGGTTTGGTGTTTGAACCCCTTGAATGTAGTCTTGAGCTTAGCATTTATATGGGGAGTCCTGGAGGGACAATCGAGGTTGAAAAGATCTGCGTTGTGGAGCCTGATCGGGGCAAGTGGGTAGTCAAATCGGCATTTGGGATCGTGAAGCATGGTGGTGTGACCCCCATGGATCCGGGTAAATCTCGGCCACTACCTTGATCGTGGGTTCTGCCCCATTGGCTGTGGGAATGCATTTAATGCCCTGGTCTGGTGGTTGGTGATCTGACCTAAAATTGTAAGCATACTTGTGAGTATGTTTGTGCCTAACCACTCTAATTTCTATTACCAAATCCTGACTTCAGTCACTTCCCCTCTCCCCTCGTGCATTAAATGCTTCTTGCGACTATTGAGCTTGCTGTAATAGTC